GTTTCTTAATGATTTATTCTTTTACGAAGAGACAATTTTTAAAGAAAGGAAAGCTATAAATTATGTCAGGACCGAAGCACTGACTGATGAACTTTTGTTATCCTTGGTGACTATAATAGTCCAACAGCGACTACATATATAGATTAAGGTGTTGAGTTGAGGTTGTATATGTTAAATGAAAAATGCTTGGAAAATGAATGAAAATGTTTAATAACAAGTGAAATATTTCAAAAGGTGCCATGAAACTAAGACGAAACTGAGTGATTAGAAATCAGATGAGTATGAGTGACGTCAACGTATTTAGAATTGGAAAACCCCCCGGGATCACCTTCAATAAGTCAACGATAAACACAGTAATAAACACAGTAATAAACATAGAAACAAAATACACAAATAAAGAAAGCAGTGGTACTAATGGACATACATCAAAACTGTAATTACAAATCAATAATAAATTGAGTCAGCAAGCTGATGCTGTGTTTATGTTTGATATTGCCACCATCGTAGTGTTAACTGTCGAAAAGTTAATAATTCTTCCCTGTCGACATATATCTAGTAATAACTGCTTTCGTGTAATTCTTTCAGTAAGTGAACAATATATATAAAGAAACGTGAAGAAAAATCTTTGTAAAAAAATTATAATTTACAAGTACATGATGTTTATTTAAAGAATGACATTAGAAGGTAGAATTTACACAAATTTGTATCTTCAATTTTAATCAAAACTTAAGCAAAACAATTCCACGAACACATCTAACAAAAACTAATAGACAATACATGCTTCTTTGTGAATTCTGTTATATTTATGGATTAGTTCGTTTTTTATAGAGTTTGCAAACTCAAAAGCTTTTAAAAAAAAACTACACGTCTACAACAAAATATCAACGAATACAGAAAATATTACTTAGACTTTAGCAAAACGTAATTCAAAAGCTGCTTATATAAATTTCTTATAATATTCTGTGTACAGCAATATTAATCACGTATCTAAAACTTGAATCAAATTCCTCGTGATGTCTAGAAACTTAATATAACTACATTCTTAAAGGAGGTGTTTTTAATCAACGAATCATATTCATACAAAAGCTTATCTTATTCTACAACTTCATGACAGTAAATAGATTTATTTTCTTGACAGAAATAAAAACGACAGAATCACACGACGAACAGCACAAATTGCCAAGAAGATATTTAACGATTGGCTGAAAATTTGTCATCTGCAAAATATAAGATTTAAATATTAAATGGGCGAATACTATTGAAAAGGTACTAGTAAACAGCATAAAAAGTACTGGCTATCTGCAAGAAATTGTGTTTTGTTTAGCTAATATGTTGCCAGTTTTGGAATCAAAAGCTAAATACTAATGCTCAATTACTTGAAAAAAATGCGACAGTAATTTCCGATGTTCTAAACTCGTCAATTTGTTTGAATACACCGAGAGAGAGAAAGAGAGAGAGAGAGGACAATAAAAAACAAAACTCGAAGAAAACAGACAATACCATGACCAAATAGAAAAAATGACGAAAAGACAAATAACTGTATACAAAAATAAAGACTGAAAAATACGAACCCACTAAAACTGTAGGTGATCCTAGGTTCTCCAAAAGGGTAAACATTTCATGCTCAATAAGTGTACTCTTATTATTAATAAAATTTGGCGATTAGTCGCATTGTCTGTAAATCCTGAGAGAATTATATTGTCTTGAAGGACAGTTTTACAAAACAGTTTGGATAAATGGTATTCAGAATGTATGTGTCGTGGATTGAAAAAGACACTAGAGTATAGTTATTCCGTGAACATATTAACGTTAGTATTATATTTTTGTGACGAATTTTACAATTTGATTACTTCGCTTATATAAGCCTTGCGAATTCGTCACGCAGAAGGAAATATACATTTCTACCATATCAATCGGCTATATATTCAAAAACAAGTACAGAACGAACTGTACAAATAAAACAAACTCTATAGACAGTGATGAAATTCGGAGATTAGTAAATGATATGCTACAAAGAGTTTGTCATTCGTTGTACCTATATGAAATAAGCAGATGTTTTACTTGTAAAAATCGAGAAACAATGACTCTGTGTTTAAAACTATACGTTAACTTTAACACTAAATGCTTAGTGATTTTTTTATGAGCATAGGTTCTTACCGATAATTCTGCTAAAGAACGTTACAGTATCATAGCCAAAACACGCAACTAACGTACGGAAAAAATGAAACACGGCTATTTCAGAAAAATTATAACACTTACAATGAAATGAACTTATGGGATATATTCTTGAGAAGCCTTCGTATGAAGTATTTCTCGTGTATTAGTAAATAAAAGAACAGGTCGACGACAAGAAGAACACAGTTGATTCCGGTAGAAAGACTGTCTGTTGCAAACATCACGTTCACCAAACATAACAATTATGTTGTAGTTTAAAAAAATACGATAAAAAAAAAAAAAAAAAACATCAATAGAGGGAACATTTACATACAATAACTACCAAAGTTTTGCCATCAGCAACAACTTTAAATTGGAAAACAAATTAAGATATAAACAAAACAACCACTACCAAGGTTTCACTAAGCCCTCTTCCTTGCGTACTTAAAATCAGAAAAGAAAATGCCACAAGAGTTGTCATCCTTTTACCAGAAAATCAAATATAGTTAAGGCGGTGGTCCGATAAAATATGTGTGCCATGAAATATATTGTCTTAAACAGTTTTGGTATGCCTTTCATTAAGAATTTCATTTTATTGAAAGCGTTATTTGATCGTATCAAACGTCTCATTATTATGTTATCCAGAGAGGTACTTTATATGAATAAATGAAGTACTGTGCCCTAATGATATTTAAGGTGTATTTATATTTACAGAATTATGTAAAATCACGAAAATAAGTACATACAAATAGTACAAAAAAGTGAAAATTATTAAGTACCTGTGCAAACCAGCGACTTTTACACTTTTACAGAATTAGTTACATTGGGTTGACATATCTTATTCAATGGTGTCATTTTTATAGCAATTCAAAATTTCTTTCTATCAACTTTAGCATGACAATAACAATAAAAATTCTATACAAACTGTTAGACTGATTATTCATAATAACATTGAAGTGGAATTAAAGTCTTATAGGATTGTAAGTATGCTTTATTTTATCACCTTGCACTTTCACGTCTTGACTGGTTTTCTACAGCAGTTTGTTCAAATTTCTGACCAGTTAAACAGTTTGGTTTCATAAAACAAATTGCAATTTGGTCAGAATTTTGAAAAAGTTGCAATAGGTGGAGAGCAACACTAACAGTCAAGTCACAGTAAGTACCTGTGCAAACTAGAGACTTTTCAATTAGTTACATTGTGTTGACATATCTTATTCAATGGTGTCTTTCGATTAAACGGCTTTTTCTCCGTTCATGACCTACAATTGTGTGAATTTATACATTCGGAGTCCGTTCTTTGAGTAAGACAACGGTGTGTTGGCAGAAATTCATACAAGTACCATAAATTTTGCAGAATTAAATCATTTTCCAGTATTTATTTATAGTAAACATTAACGTCGAATTAAATATTAAACAGAATGTTGTTGTTGTTCATACACTATCATTGAATTGCATTTTAAAATTATTTGGGTTTTTTTACCTTTTGGATTTTTTTTTCACTTTAAACCATAAAACATGTTTAACCTTCGTTTCGATAATTCAATTTCAAAAACACCCAATGCAACTAATGTCATTTATTTGTTTCAAATAAAGTGTTTTCATTTTAAGATTAAATTATCATGTTCAGATACTGTTTTTAAGGTTTTATACCATTTTCCTTATTCAAAAATTAATTTTTAAGATGCAAAATGATTTTAACCTTTAAACGGAGACTTATACAATACCATAAAAGTTATTGAATTTCATTCTAAAACAACACCCATTCACTAGAACAACAACTATTCAATTTATTTTGTAGGCAATAAATGTTTTATAGAATATAGGCATTCCAGGAAGACACTGAAATTAAGAAGAGGTGTTTTTTTTTACATCCAGTGTACGGTAATGCTGTTTCTGAAAGTTAACAAGTCTTGAAAATTTCCTTCAAACCTTTCTCGTTGCCTTACTAGAGTTCTTGATAAAGGTTATATTTAAATTATTGTTAAACCATAGTGCCTCTTTTATATTTCTGCATTGAATTATGTACAGTTTGTACTAGTCTTTGCACAAGGTCGTGTCTTCCTGTACTGTTTGTAACGTTGCTGTCTGAAATCTTATAAAGCAATTTATATACCTAATAAATTATGCCGTTATTTTGGAGTTTAATACTTTTATGTGCGTATTGTTATTGTATATGCTTTTATGCACCCTTTGCTCGTCCACTAATAGAGTTTAGTTTAGTCTCGAGATGATAGAAAAAAACTAAAACAAAAAACCTATAGAGGTCAACATGCAGTTTTCAACCATATGTAAGCTCTAAATCATTGATCAGAGGTTAATGGTTGAATTGTGTATAGTTGTTTAAATCATTATAGCGTGATCGACTTTGGCAAAGAGTTCCGCTCGGGCAGAATCCAGCGTTTCCAAAAGTAATAACAAATAGGTGCTTTTTAATGGAGTTGTGTCGTTTAATAAAAAAGTAAAAACAGAAAATAACAGTTCATTTACTTGGTATAAATGAAGCGAGGGTAAATGTACTACGAAGTGAAGAAAAACAAAAACACCACAGAGAAAGATTTCTAGCATGTTGATTCCTGTGTAAAAATAAGCTTTGAAATAAAAAGTTTCAATAATTAAGCAAAATATTACTAAAATCGCATTGAGGAAGCTAAATCCTTCGAGTGATTATGCTTTTAGCGTCTTAATGTTTTATTGGGATTCTGTTTTAAAACTATATTAATCCTTCATTAAGTAAACTAAGTTTTGGTCTGCTAAGTTTAAAGCCTGGTTATTGTTCAAAAATCAATTGTAAAGTTCTTTACAAATACTTTGTAGATGTGTATTGAATAATTTTAATGCCCTTTAAACAAGATTATTAAGTTATCAATAATACATGTATACTTGAATGACATCAGAACAAGATTATATACAAAGTTATTTTCATTTGAAGTATGTGAAAACTACGATAGATAAAATTTCAGTATATTGACGGTTAATTTCAGATGGTGAGTTTTTATATCGTATATGCTTTTAAAAAATGCAAATATTGAATTATACTGTTAGTTTAATTTTCTGTTGAAATATACGGTAATGTAACAAACATGAACTTAGAACTTTGGTGTGAGCCAAGGCTCCGTGTTGAAGGCCGTACTTTGACCTATAATGGTTTACTTTTACAAATTGTGACTTGGATGGAGAGTTGTCTCATTGGCACTCATACCACATCTTCTTATATCTATTAGAAGTTCTGTTTAATCAACTTGTTGCCGTTTAATTCTATAGCAATATTTATGTAAAGACATAGATATTTAATTTTGTTTATCATTTTGCTTTCTTCGTTCGAGTGACAACGGCATCTGAAATAATACGATACGCTCGAATATTGCAGAATTGAAGTTACATTGTGACAGGGTATTATAAAACGGAAAAATCCTCAAGAAAATTGTTTAGGTAAATTTTATTGACATCACTTCGATTGAGTTCATGTCGAAGTTTCTTGTGTTAATCTATAAATGCACGCATTCGACTCGTATTTGAACTTACAGTAATTTAGATGATATAGATGGTTGATGGTGCGTAAAAATCATGTACTCATGGCGAGCACAAACTTTTTCAAATGTGCACAATTAAAAGTCAAAAGAAAGACTAATCACATAGATGAAATGTTTTTTATAACAATACCACTATTCACACACAACTGAAAAGCAGATCTAGAAACGCTGGTCTTTGACATGAACTCCTTTTATGGCGATTAAGTGTTACCCTTGTCCGTCCGTCCATACGTACCTCCCAAAATTAGTTTCCGTTCTCTAACTTTAGTTTGCCTCAACCAAATGTAATGAACCTTATACACAATGCTTATTACTACAAAACACAGATCAAGTTCGAATTTGGGTGGCGTCACTTTTACCGTTCTCGAGTTATGCCCCTTTATGACATTATATGCAAGCGGGGGCATCATCTTTGTCCCATGGACACATTCTCCATTTATTTTAATTATGTCACTTATGCATTCCGTATACATTCCTGTATTGTAATTAAAGAATGTTTAAGTGACATAATAAAGAAATACATTTTTTATCCATTCACTGATATCGAAAACAAAACAAAAACCAGTATTTTTTAGTTGAATAATAATTTCTAAATGTTTAGTACACAATCATTGCAGCAATATTAATTAGGTTTTGTTAAATTGCTTTCCAAAACTTTGCTAAACACTTTGCTCTCACTGATCATTCAGTTTATTGATTACTATCTGTTGACCTCTTGTAAACAAATCTACATCAACACCTCTTGTAAACAAGCTCATGTAAACAAGCATCCATTAAAGATCATGTGACAAATGTCAACAGACTGATACATCAGAAGACGAGTTTGGATATGAAACTATAGAAAAACATCAGGGACCTCGTTAGTAGTTGTCGTACGTCATGTTCTTCTCGTTATTTCGAGAATTTGGTGTTGATGGTACACCTTTGATTTTATTTGATTAAATTTATTCTCTAAACTTGTATAGACTCTAAACGATTTATAGCTTGACGCCTGTCTATTGTTGAAGACTGCTGCCTTCTAAATGTCTATTATTTTTTCTCGTTGGGCTATTGATTCATTGTGGTTTAACCCACTTCTTTTATTCATATATATATACTTCCCCAATATAGTGCGAGACAGTGTTAGGTTTTTAGCAAAGCTCAAATCAGCTATCAATCAGATACCCAAAAAAGTCCAAAACGTGAACAGCAAAATATCATGTTACCGGTAATAAAAGGTAACAAAAGTCAAAATAAATATTCAGTGTTTCTATTTAAGAATTGGCTTTTGTGTGATGAATCAAACTTTCTATTATTTAATGTAGACAATGGAATATAAAAGGACGGAATTGTTTGTTTAATTTATATTATTGGCCTGGTTGTTCGAAGGGCAAACCGGATTATAAGGATGATGATGTCGGGCGGTCGAGCTGGCTGGGAAACTGGATATATATTTTGTGTTATCAAGTCCTATAGTTTTAACCCGGACCCTTGAAACTCCCCCGTATAAAGATTGCGCATATATTTAAGTTTTGCTGTTTGAGGAGCTTTTCCTATTATTCCAAACTTTGGAAGGTATTCAAAGGATGGTTCATATTTTCTGTTATGAACTCCTCCTACAGTTATCAACCCAGATTCTTGAACTTGACAGAAAATATGCATATCTTAAAGACTTTATATGTTTAGAAACGGAGTTGTTTTATTATTTTCCCCGTTTCCCCATTATATATGTACACAAATTAAAATCATTTTCCATTGTTTACGAAACATTCCGTGCATTTCGGCCATTTGAGTGTTTGATCTTTTTTTTGTATTTATTTCGTTCAACCACTATTTAAAACTTTGTTTACAGATGGAAGAGAAAATACCAGGAAAAAACACAGTATTGTTTAAAAAGACAACCAGAATAAAAGACATTACTAATGAAGGAGACATTGGAGCGTCTGTTACTAAGGTTTCTGATCAGCACAGTTCAAATATGTCCGTTTTCGGCACAGGTTGTTTAAGGAATACTACATCGAACTTTAACTTTAATGTACATGGACACACAACATCTCCCTTAATTTCAGGCAGTAAAAACGAAAAAGATCTTTCATTAAACCAGCTCAGCGCAAACCTCAACATAATCCGTGAGGAAGGCTTTGGCAAGCTGAGCAGGCTTGTTCGAGACTTACATATTGAAAAACATGCTTATAAAGAAAACATCGATGACATTGGCCATATTATTGACGAAAGGGTCACTAAAATGAAATCTGACATTGACCAAGTTCATCTTGAAATGAGGGAAAAATTAAAACAGTTGAAAGGTGAAGCATCACGTCGGATGACAAGCGAAATAGATATTTGCAGGAAAAATGTTAGGGAAATGAACGAATTAGTGCAAACAAGCCTGGAAGCATTAGATACAAAAACTGCTGATTATATGCTGTTGTTCCAACTAAACCTACAAATTCTTGAAAAATTAAACTACATGAAATCGTTGAAAACTTCTCAAAGGTTACCCTTGCCAATATTTCAAGGGAATATCATCACAAAAGATGATATTTCTAGACTGTTAGGATCATTGCATGAAGGCAAACCAAAAACTCATGAATATTATCACGCTACTAGTAGGGTCGAAAACTCATTGCAGAATTATCCTTACAACAGTGACGTTGAGAATATTAAAAAACTAGAACGCCAACTTGGAATTGTACCGTTACCTAGAAAAAGACACAGATTTCACCAGTACTCCAGATTACTATCTCAAGAAAGTAACGAGGGTGTAAACTAAAATAAAGTTTTGCTGAATGTCGAAGGGAAAATAAAGGAAGCTTTCTTTTTAATGTCACCTGTTTGCATACAAGTTATACCCAGAATTATCAATCAAGTTAATTCAAATTAGTTAAATTTTTATAAATAATATTAAGATGTTATTTTATATATTTTCTAAAGTGTAGATGTTGTCAAATGTCGAAAATTTACAGGTAATAACGCTGGGTAAGATACAATTGTTGTATTAAATTCAAATTATATAGTTGTTTAGGAACACATTTTATAATATATACTTCTGTGTTGAAATGAATTATCCTTGCTAGATAATAACTTTAAATAAAACTGTGAATTTTTCGAAATACTAAAGATTTCCTAACCTAGGAAAAGAATATCTAAGCTGTATTTGGCAAAATCTTTCGGAATTAGGGTCCTCGTTGCTCTTCAACTTCTTACTTTTTTTAGCCTCTAAAACTGTTTTGATTCGAGCGTCTTTGATGAGTCTTATTAGACGAAATGCACATCTGGCGTGCAAAATTTTAAGCCTGGTATCTATGATGGGTTAGTTAATACTATGTTTAAAATTGAGAATGGAAATGGGGAATATGTCAAAGAGACAACAACCACGAACAAAGAGCAGAAGGCCACCAATGGGTCTTCAACGCAGCGAGAAAATCCCGCACCCGGAGGTGGTCCTCAGCTGGCCCCTAAATAAAATTGTGTACTAGTTCAGTTAAAATAGACGTCATACTAAACTCCAAATCATATAAATGAACTAAAATTAAAAAACATACAAGACGTACAAAGGTCAGAGGTTCCTGACTTGGGATAGGCGCAAAAATGCTGCGGGGTTAAACATGTTTTGTGAGATCTCAACCCTCCCCCTATACCTCTAGCCAATGTAGAATAAAGAAACACATAGCAATTCCAACAGTAAAACTCAGTTTAAAAGAAGTCCGAGTCCGATGTCAGAATAGGTAACGAAAGAAACTAAGCAAAATGACAATGATACATAAATGAACAAAGGACTACTAGCAGTTACTGACATGCCAGCTCCAGACCTCAATTAAACTGATTGAAAGATTATGTCTTCATCATATGAAAATCAAGTACAGTCCCTCCCGTTAGGGGTTAAGTATCATACCATCATAAAATATATGAGAAGAACATAACCCGTATCATGCCAACAACTGATTTTAGAATGAATGTGTTTATTTCCGATGCAAACACCCTATGAGTGACTCAATATTAATACCAAAATATGCAATCCTTAATGACTTGACAACTATATCCTTTCCGAATAAGTCTGTTTAAAGGTTTGGTTAGCTTTTGATGTGAATGCCGACATTTTTGTGCTTTGTAAAGAATATTACCATAAAATATTGGATGTGAAATACCTGAACGTATAAGATGTCTGCATGTTGATTTATATTTACGAATGATGTCCATGTACTGATGATAAAATTTAGTAAATGTTTTGACTAGTTTGTGATATCGAAAACCCTGGTGTAATAATTTTTCAGTAATACAGAGATTTCTTTCGTTGAAATCAAATACGTTGTTACATACACGAGCGAATCGAACAAGTTGAGATATATGAACACCATAAGATGGCGACAAGGGAACGTCACCATCTAAAAATGGATAATTAACAATAGGAAATGAAAAATCATCTCTTTTATCATAAATTTTGGTATTAAGCTTCCCGTTAAAGATAAAGATATCAAGATCCAGGAAAGGGCAGTGTTCATTGTTAGTATTAGCTTTATTTAAAGTCAGTTCGGCAGGATAAATCTCTTTAGCGTACATACTGAAGTCGTCATTATTGAGAGCCAATATATCATCTAAATATCTAAAAGTGTTATTAAATTTTTGAATCAGATGTTGTTTCGATGGGTCTTTGCTGATTTTAGTCATAAATTGTAACTCATAACAATACAGAAACAGGTCCGCAATAAGTGGTGCACAGTTAGTCCCCGTGGGAATTATGATAACCTGACGATATACGGAATCTCCGTAGCGAACAAAAATGTTATCTAGAAAAAATTCAAGGGCAGTTATAGTATCAAAGCTGGTCCAATTGACATAGTTCTTTTGTTTGTTGTTACTAAAAAATGACCTAAAAGAGTTTGAACATATATATTCGCATTCCGACTTTTAAATGCCCATTTAATCAGGTGTGTGAATTTTTTCTTAATAAGATTATGAGGCAACGTGATACATAAGGTAGAAAAATCAAAACTTTGAACAGATTTGAAATCGCCAATATAAGCATGCAATTTATCAAGTACTTCCAACGAATTTTTGACACTCCAAAAGTAATTAATTGCACTATTTTCAAAGGCCTTATTTGAACAATTTATTACCAGGTTTTTGGTTGTACCAAGTGTACTAGTAAGTAGAATAGATAGTTGAGTAGTGGAACAATGGCTTGAAGACGAAATAAATCTATATTTGTAAGGAGTTTTGTGCAGCTTCGGAAGCCAGTACATAGTTGGAACTTTCTTGTATTTGGTTCTGCTTCTAAAGAGGTAGCTAAAAGTTTATGTTTGTTACAGATGCCATTTTCCGAAAAATGAGTCAGTTGGAATGTTGGTGAATTCGTGATTTCCTTTTGTAGAACATCAATGTAAAATTTACGTCAAACAATAATGATATTGTTAGCAGCCTTATCAGCCGGGACAAAAATATATTCCTTGGCGAGTTCTTTTAGCTTATGTTTGATACGGGAAATTGGGCTATTACGGTTGTTGTTAGGAGTAAAATGATCTTTAAAATGTTGAATACGTATATCAACTATGTTCATTACCGAATTAAAAAAAGAATCTAATGATTTCTTGTCAGCTTTTTCTCGTTTTATCCATTTAGAGCAGTAAGTTATTCCAATTAATAATTGACGGGGACGATATTTACGTCCTTTACTGAGGAATGATTTCAACTCTCGGTGACGAACGATGTTAAGGTCTCCTGTTATAACATGGGAACTGGGGCCATAAATGTATTCGGACTTACTGCAATTTCATGAGGTAGGTGTATTGTCACTGATATTGACATCTTTACACACTTCGCTGTTATTAAACAAATATTTCCGGGTAGATTTTTTGTAAACATAACAAATAAGAGGGAGTTCAGTATTATCAAAATAGCCAGGAATTTGTCCTTTAACAGAATGATCATTAAAAATACCGGCAATATTTACAAAATCAAAACCTTTATTGACATATTTAATTTTAATAAAATGTTTTTTGTGATCTTCAGGGCGATCAATTTTGGGAAACAATTTAGAATAACAATATGCAATTATAATTTGGACGATTTCATACTTAGGACTGCAATATGGAATTGTGTTGCATTCCTCCAAAATTTGATGTAATTTATTAACAGGCAAAGAACAGAGCTTGGTTAATAGATAGTGTCTACCGTTGTTTTTTGAAATCGAAATTAGGTCCGAAATATTTGTATTGTTATAACGAAATTTTCTTTGATTGTTATTTATTCTACGCCCATGAGAACGGTTTTTACGTACTGTTTTAGAAACTATATCCAAAATGTTAACAGAATCTGTTCTAGATATGGGTCATTTTCAAAAAACGTCGAATTTTGAAATTGAAAAAATTATTAAAAGTTAATTATTCAAACAACCCTCTTCATAAGCAATTCAAAACAAACAGTACTTATAGAACAACATATTAAAAGATGCAATCTTAATAATGTCATACAAGAATATCTTGAAACATTTTTTGATAGGTGGTACACTATTTTGTCTCTCCTGTTACCATGTTCAAAAGAAATTTCGGGTTTTTAAGAAAAGGTTTAGATAAAATTTTAAGCTTTTTTTGCCAATTTTCCAGGTTGTACTGAAAAATGCCTCTAAAAATTGGTTTTCATTGGTTATAAAAATTACCACCAGTAATGCAAGTCTTAGATAGCAATTCATATTGTTCAGCATTTTTGCTCTCTTTAAAAAAAAAACCTACATCAAGTAAATCCCTCGCATGTTAGTTTACTTTTGTCTTTATTTCATTGGTAACAGGAACGTACGTTAATGATATATCACTATATAAAGTTTTATCCTGTTACCTTTTTGTCTATCCTGTTACCAATATCAGTATTGCACCTGCAAATGCTAAATTGGGAAGATTAAGATGTTATAACCTTAAGATGAGTTTAAACAATGAAATATTTCATTAGGTTTGCAACTATATATTATGATAAACTTTTTAAAGACGTTTCTGTCTACAATTGTCTATCCTGTTACTGAAACCATAGCAACCATAGTAACAGGATAGACATAACAGGATAGACAAATTTCTTCATTTTTGAAAGCTGTTGTGAAATAACTACTCCCTTTGGTGAAGTGATAATGTTGTTCTGTAGTCATTTTGGTTTCCAACACGTTATTGAACTTTTTACAAGTAAATTTTTGGTGTAATTAATCAAAATGTTGGTAACAGCATAGACATGAAAAAAGGTACCCTCTATTTTTTTTCGCTAAATGTCTTGAAATTTCTTTTCTCTTCACTGTGGTTCAAGAAACGTGCTGTGTTAAATGTTAAGGTTACTTTGCACTTTTGAAATCAACACTGACCAATTCAATATTCATAGGGAGGACAATTTAACGGCTGATTTAAGTAGCGGTAATAGGATGGACATGAACTTCATGTACGCTGATTGAACTTAGTTTGTAGATAAAATGTTACATATAATATTAAAGAAGCTACGATTTTTCGTTAGAGTTATTATTAACGTTCTTAAAAAGTCCCTTTTGCAGACATCAAGGCGATTAGAAAATTGGAAAAAAATCATTTGAAATGTGATACTCTGACACTGTACGCACACAAATTACCCAAAAATCGGACTTAAATACATTTTAATCTTATCAAAACAGATGTAAATCGTGTTTATTATTAATGTTCTGAATCATAAATCCTACAAGCTTTCATTGAAACAATTCCAACTGAAATTTCAATTAGAAATAAAAATTTTAGCATGGGTGTACTGAAAATTCGACATTTTTGGAAAATGACCCATATATTACCAAATCAAATCAAATCAAATCAAATATTTTATTATTCCAATTATGGTCCCACAGGGGGCATTTACAATTAACAATTATGATAGTATAAGCAACAAACATGAGACATTGTACAGTATATAACGTGACAGATATTATAATAGACAATGAAAATAGTATTAATAACAAAAATACATTAAAAGTACTCTTGAGTATTTTTTTTTCCTTCCTTCCTTATGTCCAGCAGTGTAAAAATAAAAAAAAGTATTAATAATAAATTTTGATCAACCTTAACTTATTATCTATAAAGATGGAAATTTGTTCATCTGCAGGAGACACCAACGGACGGTGCTCTAGGATATACTGTTGATTGCGATAGGCAATAACAGCAATCCTCCCCGTGTCAGAAGCAGATGAACAAAATAAATAGAGAAACTGAATCCGGTCAATTAACAAATAATTATTATTATTATTTTTTTTTTTTTTAAATAACAACAATTATTAATTATGCGAAACATGTCATATAAATCTGCTATTTGCAGTGTTTAACCAGGAATATACACAACTCTTTTAATACAGTTAAGTTCTCACAAGACATCCGCCATAGCAATTTCTCTTGGGAATTTAAGTTAATGAAATTGTGACATGATTCCGAAATAATGTGATATAAATGGTGTCTGTCTTCGTTATATTTTGTGCAATAAAAGAGAAAATGAACTTCATCTTCATTATTACCAGAGTAACACTGCTGACATAGTCTAAGGTGTGGAGGAGTACCCTGATATCGTCCTATTTCAATCTGCAAATGGTGAGATGACACCCTAAATTTTGTTAATGATCTCCTAAGTTCAAAATTGGACATGATATTTAGATATTTTTCGAAACCATAATTATTCTTAAATTTTACATAAGTGCGGAGCTTCCCTTCTGAATTCTTGGTCAAATGATCCTTCCAAATTTTTATGCATGTCTCTTTTCAATATTTTCTTGATGGTATTTTTTGAAATATTTTTCCCATCATTTAGGTTTGCAAACACAGGAAGAGTTTTTAAAATTTGTTGGAGAGAGCCATACCATGACGATTTATGCTGAGAAAATAAAGTTTTTGAATGCTGGTATGCATCTTGTAATAAAGGAAATGAGTCTAAATTTTCTAGTCTAGGCCAATAATTCAAAATAGATTTCACTAAGTCAAAGTACAGTGGAAACCGACCAAATTCAGATAAGGCTGCAAAATTTGTGTTTTTTTTTGTGTACACCCAGAATAAATTTACAAAATTTACTGTGTAGCTTTTCACAAGTTAAATTCGAATAAATTTTATCTAATGTTAACTGGTTTCCAGATCTAAATTTTGCTATAAAGGGATTAAATGAGCTCCAAATTTCACTTCCATAAAGAAGAATAGGCTTAATAGTATGATCAAAAACATGTATACTAGTTTTTAAGCTAGGATTTAGAGATAATAAATCTTTTCTAAGTTTAAAATATGCTTTTAAAGCTTTCTTGTATAATTCATTCTGAGCATAGGAGAATGTACCTGAAGCACTAAAATACACACCTAGATATTTACAATGTTGTACACATTCTATATCATATTCTTTGTATTTAAATTTGAGGCGGATATGTCTGCCTGCCTTGTTGAAAATCACAATTTTTGTTTTATTTGGGTTGAGAGTAAGACACCAATCTTGACACTATTTTCCCATAATATCAAGTTTTGATTGAAGACCAGAAGCTGTAGTGGATAGTAAAATGATATCATCGGCATACATCAGACAATGGATAGATCGCCCATTTATATTTACAGGGTCTAGAGATTTTTCCAAATAGTTAGGAAGGTCATTGATGAAAACCTTAAACAGGTTAGGACTTAGATGATCTCCCTGTTTAACTCCAAGCTGTATAGGGAAGAAATCAGTAATGCTGTTCTTAATTCGAATG